AAGATTTCAGTAGAGGTTTTTATTTTCTTCTTGCTTTGTCTTGATTCTCGTATATTAGTCTTATCAGACCGTGTATTTGAGCCTATAAAACTCTTAGAAAATTCCGGAAGAACTCGGAACCGATACTTACTATCTATAAACTGTAGAACACTACTCGGTGGAATAGTAGCCTCCAGGTACAATTTTTTATTGGTTTTTCATTCAGCAAATTTTTTCGAAAATAAGAACTACATATGCTTTTGAATGCAACTTCTACCGTAAAACAGAATTTCCGTTTTCTTTTAGTAATAATTTTGCTGTCCATAACTTAATTCATGACCTTAAAACTAAAATTCAATTATTAAAATATTATTTTATTTTATAAATTTTTAATTTAGTTGTTATGGCTTTATGTTTTGCTTTCCACATTGCTAATAATACAAATTTCTTATTTTATAAAATTTTATATAGAAAATTATAGGTATATGTAGAAGAAGTAAGAAAAATTTGAAAAAGGAAAAAAAAATTTTGATATTAAGGAAGCGTTCAACCAAAAAATATTTACCAATTTTTTGTGTATTTTTATATGCTTACTTAAACCGCAAATGAAAAATCTTTTTCCTAAAAATTATTTTAAAAGAATAACAAAAATTTGGAAATTCCTTCTTATTTAAATTTTAATCAGAAATATGTAAAAAAAAATTGTTCAAATACCAATTACGGATTTATTTTTTAAAATGTAAAATATTTTTAGTTTATCTTGAATTTGCAAATTAATCAATGGGCTAAAATTAAAGTTAAATTAAAAATTATCTAATTTAGTTTAATTTTTTTAAAATAAATTTAAAATTTAAATTATAAAATTAATTTAAATAACAATTTATTTTCGAAAATTTATGAAATTTCATGTTGTTGTTCGAACAATTAACTTGTCAGAAGACCTCAGATTGATTTTATAGTTGTATTGGAATTTTAATAATAGCTATTTACATTTCGCTATTGGAGGTTATTGAAAGCTACCTTGACTTAACTAGTATAATAGTTTTGCCATTATTCTCGTAATCAAAATGCATTTTCTCATAAATTCTTGGATTTTTAACCAAAAATTTTTCTTTAAAGCAAAAAACTAAATTTTTTCTTTAAAACTTTTTCTTAATTGTTGTGTCTTGCAATTTTCTACAGGTAAAAATTTTACGTACTGAACGGAACTTCGAAATAATAAAAATAAATTTAAAAGTCTTTAAATACAATTCATAAAATATCTCAAATATCCTTGAGGTGATCCTGACTTATGCCAATCTTTTATGACATTTTAGTTACTATAGCTGATTTATGTATGTATCTAGATACAAGGATTTAAACCAACAAAATCTATGTCAGAAAAAAGGCTTTTTTGTTTATTATTATGAATTTTTTTCTAAATTTTGTTTTTCTCTGAAAATTGCTGCAAGGAATTGAAAGGGCGAAACAAAAAATTAAATTTAAAAATAATTTTAAAAGATTTTCTTTTTTGTTTTTTCTTGTTTTCATATGTTGTTTTTATTTTGATGTTAATGTAAACTTTTGAAAAATAAACTCGAAAAACTAAAACAACTTGTTGAAAACAAATTTTATTTAGCCGCAATAATTTTTATTTTTCTTGCTGCCACTAATTATGATAAGAAGGATCAATATTTCAACAGAGATATATCAGCTTTCTAAGTAAATTCTCAAGAAAATTAATGCTTATTGTGAGCTTTTGTATAAATGATTAATTCAGGTTCTAATTGGATTTAAATTAGTTGTTGTTCCTTAATAATTCATTTAAATTGAAGGATGGCAAATATTCGATGTCACAAACCCTACCTGCAATAAGTTTTTCAATGAATCAAATTTTACATGATCGTATTTTGCAGAACTGTGCAAATAAAGTAGCGGAATGAGGACCTACATTTTTATTCATAGTTAAATTAAATAATTTCAAAAAAGCTGTAACTATGCGTCGTAAATCGGCACATTTCTTAAAATTTTATTTTCTTCAAATAAATTATGAAAAACATTCTAACTCCGATGTTACTGTGTAGCGGACATTGCTGTAAGGCTCGTTTCAAATCAATTGCCTTGACGTTTTTCCATGATTTTGTAAAACGTAGAACAGATATACATAAGTATAGTCATCTTTCTGCATTTATTGACTTAAGAATTTGCTTTTGTTTTGGATTCAATAAGTTGCCATGAACGGTCTTTTTGCCTATTTCGCGAACCTATTTTATCTTGACAAATATTTTTTCCATTAAGGCTTTAATTAAAACATAGTTTCAGCTTTTTGCTTGTACCATTCCAATTTTTCAAGTTTTCTAAACTCTTGGATGAACAGATGGACAGATAATAAGCATATGTTTTTGATTACTTCTTGGAAATCTACTTAAAAGTATGTAAGCAAAATTTTATTCTTATTTCTTTCCCATTTAAATTCACAAAGTCAAAACATAAGGGCATGAAAGGTATATACAATTTGTAAAATTTTCGAAAATTCTACAAAATATTTTTATCTCTACATTTATTTATGTATTTATTGTTATTTTTTAAGCGTCACCTTGAATAAGGACATAAAGTAAAAATAATAGAAGGATAATGAAATTCCGGTTTATTTCATTTTTAATGATATATTGTGTTGATGCATAATTCCTTGCATATACGTGCATATATAAAAAATAAACATAATAAAAAACAAAGGAAAGAAAAGGGATAAAATAAAAATCATCCTTTTTCTTTTTTTTTCACGGTCATAAGTCTTCCTATACTTGTTTTGCGCAAAAGTGTGCATTTATTCCAGTTTGTATTCGTACTGTATGCATACTTATATAATATGAATTTGCTTTTAATATTTATGACATAATAACTTCCGGTATATTAAACGTGATAAAATTTTAAAAATATATATGTGAACGTGGATTCATATATGCTATACGTACATATATATGTACAAAAGTTGTAAGCATATGCCTCTATTACGGAAAACGCATTCGATACCATTTTGAAATTAAGCTATAAGAAGGTATGAATTTAAAAATTAAAATGAAGCTTCTCGTTGACGATTCGGTAGTTCGGTAATTTTGCTATTCAATGACTATTGCTTTTAGTCTATTTCAAAATGATATCATAAAAATATTTAGCTCCGTGTTCTATCTCTTGAATTAAAGGTGAAACTACAAATATTCTTGGATATTACCAAAAGCTCTTTGAAATAATTAATCCTTGCCTTCTCTCTAATAATATTTTTTGACACATCAGTAGTAAAAAATTTCCTGTAATTATCCCATATTCATTTGTAAGGTTTAGTATGGAAGAAAAGCTACAAAATCACCATAAGTCTAATACAAAAAAACAAAACGGGTAAAAATAAACAAAAGGAACAATAGGGAGATACAATGAGACTACAATAAAAAAAAAGCCACTTAAAATTTCTCTTATAATGGTCTTTCATGGAGGCGCCTATAAAGACAATAACACCAACAACTTCACCTTCACATACAGATACAAACAATATGAAGCAATTAAAGTTTATTGTTTTCTTCTCTTACTTTCTCTAACTTATATGGCATTATATAAATAACGTTATAATATTTGGTTATATACAATTCATATTAAATTATGAAGAACACCTGAGGTTTCTTTAAGTGCGCTTTATATGTATATAATTACTATCTGTACGTATGTATATACAATCTAATGTGTAATCGTAATGAAATGAAAGAGAAGACGTGTTTTTTTATTGTTTCATATAAGTACATACAAAAAATTTTAAGGATTCAAGAATTTTCAGGAGCTTTTTCTTCCATTTTTTATTCTGAGTCACACTTACATATCATTATGTAAGTATTTCTTGGAATCTTTTCCACACAATTTTAACTACAATGTCAAGATCCTAAATTACAAGAAATATGTATAAGATAAAAAAGCAAAAAGGTATTCATAACTGTAGTATGAGAATTCAATAAATACGAAAAATTTTTTTCCTGAGTATTATTCATACAAAAAAAAAGGCATTTCTCTTGGGAGAGGATAATGAAAATGAAATTTATTGTCCCAAAATTGTAGAAAGGAAATAATATGACAAAGGTCAAGTAAAATGCTTGCGTAAGGGCAGTGTGTTTTACAATTAAATTTGCTCTTTTTCTCTTATTCTCTTATAAGTTTTATTGGGTAATGCTTCTAATAAAATATGTTTAGGTATAAAACATAAAATTTGTATGCACACGATGCATGTTAAAATTTGTAACTTTGTCGTACTTATACAAATTCAAAACTTTAACAAACCTTTAACACAAAACGTTATCCAAAATAAGAATTCAAAAATGTGGTCGATTAAACCACCTGTTTTGTAAAATAGCACATCTTAAGTCTTACGCAACTCGCAGTTAAAATCGTTGACTTCCAAAATGCAGTAATACGATATTAATACAAAATTGACCTTATAATTTTGAATTGCTAACTTGTGCATTATAATAGGGTATTACTGCATTCTGGAAGTTAGAGAATAATAGGGTTCAAATAGCCAAAACGTTTAATGGAAAAAATTTTCTTACTACATAATTTTGCATAAATTTAGGAGAAATGTTTTAGTGTAATCTCAAGGTTTTAGTGTAAATAAAAAAAATCGAAAATAATGTGTGCTTAAAGTAACAAATAATTTACTTATAGCAATAGTTTAAGCCTTGACTGCAACAATTTTATTCTTTCTTAAATATACTCTGCAAATTCCGGAAACAAACGCTTTTAATTAAGATTTTTAGAACGTAGTTTTATACGATCGAAAAATGAAAAAATTTATGTCTGGAATTATATTGGGATGTTGAAGGAGCTTGACAAGACCTTATATGTTGATCGAAAACTGAGCGAAGTCTCGTGAACTTAAAATGAATTTGATATATCATAAAATTTATATTTAGTATTAGACGCATAATTAATGTAACTTTTTTTCTATAGTTTTGTTATATTGCGATAAAAATATGTACAATTTTTTTAAATTAACTTTTTCATCAGCCCTTGTTAAATTTGGATGGTGGAGATGCTCCTGGAATAATAATTTGAATATCGGGCGGTGGCGGGGGTGCTTTAAAAATTGTGTACTTAGTTAAATTAAAAATGAAATGTTTTTGCTATAAAAAATCTTACATGTAGTTACAGGCTGGGGTGGAGGTAATGTTGGTGAACCGGTTGGGGTAGGCGTCTGTGTAGCAGTAGGAGTAGTTCCCGTTGGTGTTGTGCCTGTTGGTGGTGCTGGTACCGGTGGCGGAGGAGGTGGTGGAGGTGGTGGAGGCGGTGGAGGCGGTGGTGGTGGTGGTTCTATTTGATATGTGGGAGGCGATGTAATAGGTGGAGGTGGAGGTGGCGGTGGTGGTGGTGGCGGAGGTGGTGGTGGTGGTGGTGGTGGCGGAGGTGGTGGTGGTGGCGGTGGAGGCGGTGGTGCTAGTTTTGAAGTAGTTAAATGAAATATAAACTTATTTTAAATAAAAAAAATTGAGAATTACTTTGTCTGCCTTGAATCTTTTCGTTATTTTGTTTTACAGCTGGTCCGATTTCAATATTCCCACGAATTTTAAACTTTGAATTTAGTTTTTTTCTTATCAATAATTCATTCTTAGATGCATTCAAATTTCTTTCATGTTCCAAACCTAAATTTTCAGTTTCTCTTTTAAAATTTCTATGATTTCTATGATTCAAAATAATTTGTCCACGATTTGGTGTGTCTTGTTGACTTGTTTCATTAAAATCACCTTCATGTACACATATTTAAGTAAAAAGAATTTATGAATTTGTTCAGTAAACAACGTATTTCAAATAAATATTAAAAGTGACTTATTAAATTACCATTATTTCCATTTACAATCGCAGAGAGTAGGATTAATCCTTGTATTAATATATTGAACTTCATTGTAAATTCATTTTCATCTACACTACACAATAAAAGTCTTCGAAATTCTATCGAATTCTATCGAATGATAACTTTACCGAAGAAAATTTCTTTTTATATTTATTTTTAGAATATGAAACCTAAAAATGTAGTAAACATAGAAAAAAATTAACGACATTAACTCTTTCCGCGTGATTGGTTAACGATACTAGAAGATGAAAATTTGCCTAGAGGTAGCATTTCGGCTGCACAATAATAACTTTTCTTCCCACATTTTGTGCAATTCGGTGTAATTTGCACTCCAAAGAACCACACTTTACGCTAAGCTTAGTTTAAGAACAATATCTATTTGATAACCATACATTTTAAGAATTTTTTTTTTGTAAAGTTCATGAAAAATTATTGATTCATTTTCAAATTTTATCTTTCTAAAAATATTTTAACTATGTCTTCCAAATATGTGGTGGCTATTGGCTAATCACTATTAATACATGTTTTTTTCCAAAAAATATCTTTCTTGTGTTCAGATTTTAAGCAATTGTGTTATTCCATTTTTAATTGAAATTATTAACTGAAATCAAGAGTTGCTAATTCAACACTTGAAGATCTTTATAACATTTTATTAGGTTTCCCTTTTTTATAATTTTCAATTTTCTTGTAATAGCTATGAAAAGAACTTGAAAAATTGTTTAGAACTTTGAGTCAAGTTGTGATATTTGGACATTCTACTTGCTAGTTGAAGAACTTAATAACATCATAAATGTTTCAATTAGCAATGATTTTTATACAATGTGACTCTATATTTTTTGTAAATTTTGGGAAAATATGTATTCTAATAATTATACACTTAATTTTTGTTTTAAATCAATTTTATTATCAGCCTTTGTTAAATTTAGATGGAGGGGATGGTGCCGGAATGATAATTTGTATACCTCCGGGCGGTGATGGGGGAGCTTTAAAAATTGTATAGATGAATTAAAAATTAAATATTTTAACTATAAAAAATCTTACATGTAGTTACAGGTGGGGGTGGCGGTGGCGGTGGTGTGGGTGAAGCGGTTGTGGTAGCACCCGTCGGCGGTGATACAGTGGGAGTAGTTCCTGTTGGTGTTGTGCCTGTTGGTGGTGCTGGTACAGTTGGTGGAGGTGGGGGTGGTGGTGGTGGAGGCGGCGGTGGTGGTGGTGGTGGCGGTTCGATCGGAGTTGTTCCACCAGGAGGAGGCGGTGGAGGAGGTGGCGGTGGAGGTGGTGGTGGTGGTGGGGGAGGTGGTGGTGGAGGTGGTGGTGGCGGCGGCGGAGGAGGCGGTGGTGCTAGAATTTAAACAGTCAAATAAATACATAAATATTTTTTAAATGGAAAAAAATAGTTACTTTGTCTGCCTTGAATCTTTTCGTCATTTTTTTTCACAGCTCTTCCAGTTTCAATTTGTCCACGAATTTTAAGCTTTGAATTTAGTTTTCTTCTTATCACAAATTTATTGTCAGATACGTCAAAATTCCTTTTACGTTCCCATTTTAAATGGTCAGCTTCTCTTTTAAAATTTCTATGATTTCTATGATTTACAATAATTTCTCCTCGATTTTCTGTTTCTTGTTGATTTGCATCATTAAAATCACCTTTTTAATACACATAAGTATATAGAATTGTTCAGAAAACAAAAATATTTTATGTAGAGATTAAACGTCATTTATTTTATTTACCATTATTTCCATTGACAATAGCAAAAAATAGTATTAGAACTTTTAATAACGTATTTAACTTCATTTCAAATTATTTATCCATACTACTCGTTAATCGAAACGTTTCTCAACTCGAAATTTTTTTAAATGATAGTTTTGAATAAAGAAAATTTCCTTTTATATTTATATAGGATAAAGTTGTGCACAACTTTAAATAAAAAAAGAAATCGATCAAATTAACCCCATTATTAAATTTTGATAACTGAGCATAGAAATTTTTTTTAATTTTGCTAAAACGTAATTTGCAACTTGAACTTAAAATTTTGATTAATTGCGATTTTTGACCTTCTAGAAGAGCTTAAAATTTAAATAGAATAGCATGTAATTTGAGTATCCATTAGAATAAACTGAAGCTTTCAATAGGTTAAGTGAAAGGTTCTATAACTGTTTATTGTGTTATATTAATTTTGTTTTTTGTCTTAAAAACAAATTTTTGTAAAAAAAATTAAATAATAAATTAGAAGAATATTAAATTTAAATAGATGTTATTCTCCCGCTCTATAAACAAGATATGGACAAGCAGGGTGAAAATTAATTAAACAAAAAAATTATTATGATTTATCATTTCTACTGGAGCTCCCAACCCATGTGAAACCTTATTAATTGTGAATTAACGAGACTTTTCAATTGCATTAATACTCTGAGGATGGCAAAAAAAACTGAAATTTTTAGAAAAATAACTGATTATAAACTGGTATCAGAAAATTTGGAAAGTTACTTTTGAAAATAAGTGGTAAAACTCTTAATAGGAGTAATAGAAGTTTGAAATTTTATGATTTACCATTTGAAAACATTATAATTATGAATATTACTGAGATTATGACATTGCACTTACTTCCGTGTTTTCGAATTCTCTTATATTTTGCGAAATGAATATAATATTTGAAAGTTTATCAAAAATATACTAACCGAGAAAGTGACGGATGAAACAGTTAAATGCCTATAAGCTTTAAACTTCTGCTTAATTAATTCCGAAGCTTTAAAGAATATTTTTATTTAAATTTTTTTCGGGTTACATTATTAATTTAATCAAAATTTTTAAAATTTTTGGTAATAAATTAAAAAAAAAGCAAAAAAAAAATAGTTAATATGTTGTGATTTGAGAAAGGTTCTGGTATGATGCCTTTGTTTAGAATCATACCTGATTTCGATTTTACATTTAATTCATTCTTAAAATAAGTTCTTTATTTATGCATATTTCCGACTAGACTGAATTTGTTTTACATTTACATATTTTATAATTTGATTGAACTTATTGGAGTTGAATGACCCCAAATTCTTAGTTTCAAACTCCAATTTACTGTTTTCAAAATTTGCAAAAATGTTCGCTCTGTTATTCGATAATTGTTCTTCATATTATAAAAAACAATAAAAGAAACCAGTTTCTAGTAAAGTGAGCTTTTAAATAAATAAATTTTGAAAGTTTTCTTATTTTTCACTTGTTTGTTATAGTCTCAGAACCGCTAATATTAAAACTCACATAATTTTTATTGAAATTTACATAACAATAATTTGACCCAAAAATTTCAAATGTTTATAATATTATGAGCTCGTTCTAGATTAGTTTTTATTATTCAATTTATATTTTAGTTTAATTTCATATCTTGAAACGAGAATATCTAATTTTTATTTTACTCATTTAGCGGTGTTTGGCTTTAATTTCGCTTAGTACTTGTTCTCTAATTATTGTAGAATTATTTCTCAAAGCTCAAACGAATTTATCCAGTCGCACAGTAATACCGGCTCTTCAAATTCGTCGAAATTCATCGTACTATCAAGGATATTGTTCACCTTTTATTTTGTAATTTATGTGAAACAAGAATGTGTTCTATATGGGGTCCTAACTAATATTCAATTATACTCTGGTATGATATTAATATTGCCTGAGAGTCCTGTGAAAATTTTTTACATTTAAATTCTTATTTTTTCATCAAAATCAACGTTTTACATGTTTCAAATATTGCTTTGAATGAAATTTGAGGAAAAAACAAAAAGAATTTCGTATTCAATTTAGTTTTTTACCGACCGCGTTGCATACAATAAGAGAGGATATGTGCTGGCACCAAATTTCCGATGTCGAGTTTGTGGTGGAAACGCACTTTTCAATGGTAGGGAAGGGTAAACAAACTACTTTTACAGAGATGTCGGTCTATATGTCTGTCCGTCGGTCTTTCAGACATTGTATATACGCGTTTATTCAATTTTTGGGAAATTTCAGGCCTCTGGTATTGGATGATTTTACATTTCAGGCCTCTGGTACTTTTTTTCAGGCTGATTTTACATTTTGCATTCCTTACAATTTGAAAGAAGTTTTTAAAGTGTATTTTCTTAATATTATGCAACATTTTCGTTAAACTAGACAATACACATTGCGGTCGGTTATGTGTGGACCACATCAGCTTTTTTTTATTTGTGTTCTTGCTCCTTTTAAATTAAAAGTTCACTTCTAAAAATATTACGAAGTTTTCAAATAACAAAAAATTCACAATTGAATTTCAATTTGTTTCTACATAAACAGTTCTGGAAACAAGGAAAAACTGGGCGGGTGGTTGGCGGTTTTTCTAAGCGTGATTTTTTCCCATATTCTTATTTTTTGTTTTTTAGAAATGAAAAGCGAATAGAAATTTGAAAATGCTTTTGACTAAAAAAATATTGTAGAAAATTTTATACTTTCTCTATATTTATTGATGCTACTGGATATTTAGCTTTAATTTCACTATTTCAAGAATGTTATTAAAGACACAGAGATTTTGGTGTTATTAGTTAGAAATAAAAGTATAACAGTTATCGCTGTTTGAATGAAATTTTAATTTGCGAAGTTTAAATTTTAAAGTAACAAAATAGAAATTGAAAAAAAATATTGCAATGCGAACATAAGAGTATATAGAGTTTGCAGAAAGAGCTTTCAAATTTGCAGTAGTTTAGTATTTATATGAATTTTAATAAATTTAATTCTTGTATTGAAAGTATTTCAAATTTTATTAAATAATAATTTTTCTTTTTTATTACAGGTATGGCTATATTAGACGCTATTAAACACTGTTATTGTAATAGTAAGTACATATATAGGTAGTAAAGCCTTTTTGAATGAACCATAATTATACACAGTTCCGTACAAAGGGGTAACCATCACATGCAACAATCGAGAGACCACGAATTTAATTACCAATATCTACAGTAAAATAAAACCTTGGGCGGACGTAAATAGCTGTGTTGGATGGCGAGAATATTTCCAAACAGCACATCTAATATGACTTACGTCCCGGAGAATGAGACAACCGCCGATCTCTCTATTGAAAAGTTTATTTAAGTGTAAAGAAACTGCCCAGTGAAGTATAAACTGCACAAGCTACGGGAAAATCAAAATCCTCAGATGCAGATTTTGTAGGTGCGGTGACGAAACCGTCGTGCATATCCTTTGCGACTACCCGGTACTGGCTGTCCAGCGTCGCAATTGTTTTGGACAGGGTTTCCTAAGCGTTCGGTGAAAGGTATGCAACTCCCTTATGGTTATCTCCAGCTTCATACTTGGAACGGATATATTATATGCGCTAGCGTGGGGAGGCTACAATAAGTCGCGAATGGCTGCGGCAGCCTGGAGGGTCTTGCCACACTCGGTTCCCTTAAAAAATCTACAAATCTAGAACCCATACAAAAGATTTGTATAAATTGTAAAATATTCCTTTAATAATACATTCCAGCTTCCTAACTCAAATATTAACAGTTATATATCCACTTCAGTTTTTTCCACATTCGACCATCAATTTATCAAAATATACTCAGGTAGAATCTATACCTATGTGGGAGTGGTTTACTTTCCCCCTAATTCGGACGAATCCTCTTATAACGATTTCTTTATCAAATGTAACGAAATATTTTCACAAATGCATGAGGATGATGAGATAGTTGTTCTAGGTGATTTTAATCGGTCGGCTTTATCGTTTATCAACGATGAATATGATAACCATCTTCTTCCAGTCAACTTCATGAAAGACATCGATTTTAATCTCCTTAGTACGTTCTATGGGAACGACTTGCAGCAGGTGGTACGTTACCCAAATGAAAGAGGTAATTGGTTGGACTTAGTTTTCTCAAATGCCTATGACAGCATACGTTCCCGACTTGCTACAGACGAAGAGAACCTTTTCAAAAATTCTATTCATCATAATGCAATTGTTCTTGAATTTCCTAATAACAAACTTAAGTTCTCTAAATCTTACAATAAAGAGATTGTATATGATTTTCTTAACGCCGACTATAACGGCATCAATTATGCTCTTAGCTAAATTAATTAGAACGATATGTTCCATCAGCACAATTTTGTTCAGAATAATTGACGCCCATGTTCCAAGAATCCTTAAAAAGGATAGACTGGCGGAACCATGGTTAGATCGTAATTTAAGACAATTACGTAATCGAAGAAATAAATTATACAATAAAATTAAGCATTCTAGGGACAATAACTCACTTATTAATGAATATAATGAGTTGGCGAATGAATTCAAAATTAAATCCAATGAGGCATATTTATATCCAAAATATAGGCAGCTCGATTTTGGGGAACCCCAAAAGATTTTTTGACTTTGTTAACTCCAGACGTAAATTGTCAGCATATCCGAGCTCCATGAGCAAGAACGGGTTAATATCATCTTCTAACTCTGAGATTTGCAGTTTTTTTGCAGATAATTTTATTGGGATGGTTAAAATCTTACTTCACTGAAAGGACCCAATTTGTCAAGTTCCAGGATGTTAAGTCGAAACCTATCCATGTCTACTCTGGAGTTCCCCAAGGAAGTCATTTAGGCCCTATTCTTTTCAATATCTTCATTTCTGACCTCTCTCAGTGTTTGACGAGTGTTCCGCATCTGATTTATGCTGATGATCTGAAAATGTATCATATTGTAAAGGATATTTCTGACACTAATTATCTCCAATTAAAAATAGAACATCTAAATTCTTGGTGCGAGACTAATAAATTAGATCTTAAAAAATGTTATGTTATTAGTTTTTCACGTAAGTGTTGAA